GATTTATCGCATACCTTAATATTCAGCAGAGGGGGATCTAAGCCCCTTTTACAAAACACGCATACCTCTGTTTTCTCCGCGGAGACTTTCAGGCCCAGCTTTTCTATTCTACTAACTATTAATTCTACGAAAGCTTCAGCCCTTCGGATTGTCTCTCTAAAATCACTACCAGTAATGACCAGAAGAATGTCGTCGGCATAACAAAGCATTTCGCAGCCAATAAAATTATGTTCCCTTAAAACTTCGTCATAAGCTATTATCCACAGCAATGGGTCCAATACGGAGCCCTGCGGCACGCCTCGGTCACTCTGAATTCCTTTAATTGTTCGTTCCTATCCGAAAAAACTACAGATCGATTGCTAAGGTATGTTTGAATAATGGCACACAGATAGCCCGGTGTGTTCTTTCTTTCTAGAGCCGAAATAATTTGACTCTACAAAATGGAGTTGAAGGCATTGTTCATGTCCAATTCTATCACCACAGTTAATCACACCTAACGCACTCAAGGAATATAAGACAGCGTTGAGTTGAATTGTCATGACTCATAAAGATATTAGATGGTTATGTGTATTGTATTTTTTGGTTCTAGTAGAACTAACTCGAATTTGGATTATCGTAAGTACCCACAGTAACGCAATTCTTCCGATTTCAGCACATGTGAAAATGAACTGTATATGCGCGAGCGAGGTATGTAACCAATCAGAGCACGAATATTCCGTCTCCTTCTCTTCTATAATTTCTCCATTTGTTAGCATGAGATGCCAAGCATTTAATGTTCAACAGAAAGTGGCGGGAACATACATCGCATAGGGTTATAAAAAATTAAAATTTTAACTTGAATTTAAATTAAATTTCTTTCTTTACTTACTCTACTCTTTCCTTGGTTCGTACCGAGATGAATCGACTAGCTGAGGCATGAACTAATGATTGATGAGTTGTATGGAAGAAGGAAATAAAACATTAATTTAAGAATATATTAGAAGTTAAGGCATCTTAATTTGTTTAACATTGCATCTGCATTTAAATTTCATGTTTATTGTATTATTATATCTTTTAATATGACATACTTTTAATTGCAATATTAATATTTGTCAATATTTGTTTCTTCATTTTCTAAATCTATATTGTTTTGTGCAAGTCTATGATTTATGAACTTTTTATTTCTATTCATTATTTACTTTTATTTCATTCACTCATTCACTCATTATTTGCATAGTATAATATTTGTTTTATATATTTTATAGAGTTAACATTGATAAAGATACACTAACGATATTTTTAAAAAAAATTTATTAACAATTAATATACTATTATATATTTTATATATTCATAATTAATATATTTTATATATTCACAATACGTTTAACATATTGTTTTATCTAATGTATTTTTTCTTTTTATTTTTTTAATTTGTATATTTGCATATACATTATCATATAATAAATTAATTTTATATAATAAATTTATATGTATGTTTTCTTAAGTAATTTGTAACTTATTTGTTTCAAATATAAATTGCTAATCGTTATCGTTATCGTTAACAATCGTTATTAACTTTGTTAATTAATTTTTATTTTCAAAAAAGTCATGTATAATTTTATTTGTGTAATATGACAATACATAATATAATATAATAATACAAATTGATAAAATGTAAAATAAAATTTATCTAAAATTATTTTTTATATTTAAAATTTTATATTTAAATTTTTATATTTAATTTTATATTTAAAATTTAATTTTATTTTTGTATGTATATTTCATTAAAGAATATATAATGAAATAAATACCAAGAAATAAATTTTATGCGCCTATGTACATTTTTATTCTAAACATACACTGTGTATGTACAAGTTAGAAAAAGAAAGTTATAATAAAAAAAGGAAGCGAGGCGGAATATTCGTGTCCTGTAGGTCTATTCTCTAACTTGTTAACGACAGTTTCATTAGCTAAGGATGTCATTATGCAGATTTAACGACACTATAACGAAAAATGATATTCTATAATTCAACATAACGATAAATGTCGTTAAAAATATATAATAAAGTACCAAATCTTGTTATTAAAATATCGAGGGATATCGGACTCCTTGATAAGCTATAACGACAACATAACTAGACATATCAATCAATAGCAATGTTCCGAAGCGGTTCGAATAGTAATATGGAAGTGTACAAGTATAGTATAATTTTATAATTATTATTTATTATTTATTTTATTATTATTATAATTATTATTATATAGTATAATTTTATAATTTAAATATATGAACATCATAAACTTATTTTAAACATATTAAATATTAAGAATAGCACGCAAAAAGTAATATTACAATAAAATATCTTAATTAAAAGCAATATATTATCAAAGTTATATCTAAGGATATTAAAATAAATAAATAAATAGATAGATTACATTTTACTTATGAATTATATGCAATGTAAATCAAATGTTTTTTATTAAAATTTTAGATAAAAAATTAAGATTTTTTTCTTATTTTTAAGGTAAAATGGTTAAAGGATATTTGGCATGGAATATATTACTTTAAAAAATTTTTAAATTATGTAAAAAAAATTTTTAATAATTATAACAATAATAATAATTACAGCCGATATATGTTTCAAACAAACAGACAATAGATGATTTCTATCGGCAGATTGGGTCTTCGTGTCGAATAATTTTTATTTTTCTGAATTTCAAGACAATGCTTATCGCGAACTACGTATCGTTAATTCAACGATCTTGCAACGTAGCCTACTCAAAGCTAAATCTAAATTCACCCCTATCTTATTAAATCAATAATCAAATTTGGAATTGATTAATCTCCGACTAATCCCAGACATTCTAGAGACAAAAGGATTCCCAACAAGAAGAAGAAAATGGATCTCAAATCACGCACGTTTATAATTCTACAAACACAAATCAAAGAAATAACACTTGAATTAAAATAATATATTTGTATATGTATACATATATATATATATATATATATA